CTAATATGCACAGGAACATACCGACCTTCTCATATATATTGACGTGCTGGCTACTGCGTAGGCCCTAATCGTCCCTAAAGGTATGAGCAAACTATCGTAGTTACGGTGGGTACATCCGGAACTCCTGGTAGCACATTTGTGCTTTCTTCTCTATCGCTTCCTTCATAAACATATGACCATTCCTTGCGAAAGGAAATCGTTGGATGAGACGTTGTTGTTTGCGATAGTAGTGTGATGCGTCGCTGCCTGCTAGTCGACAATACGTCATCCATTTCATGACGTTATTTGCCAGTTGGCAAATGAACTCTTCATCATTGACTTCTTCATCGTCTTCTGATCCCAACAGAATATTACAGTTAAATCTAACTCGTCCATTATGTATATCTCAAAATTACTAATTTGGCTTGTAATTTTGCAAAAAAAAATTGTAAGATATTGAAGCCTTCTCTGGAAGGAATGAAATATTACTATAATAGCAATCATCCTAAGTATTTTTATATACGCAACTTTGGACTATTGGTACGTGATAATTTTGTAATGCAACATGGAATCTTTATCAGTACTGCACAAATTTTTGTAAAGGATAATTGTATGATAATTCATGTGAACATATTTCGTAGTTTTCTGCTGTCCAGTAGTGAATAAAGCACATGACACATTGTACACAAGTCAAATAGTACATACCAAGGCCCACTGTACGAACATAAACTACAAATCATAGAAAGTAATATACAAACAGAAAAAAAAGAAACAAACAAACATGAAAATACTAATACATACATACAGTTCATTTATCTAAGAACTACGGACGGGACTTGTTGTCCCTATTGAATTGCCACTCAATCCACTCAAATTTTTCATCAGCGTCGGCGAAAACGTCGAGCATGTCCCGAAAGCGCTTCTGGGCTAGAAGCGTACAAGCGAAGAAGTATAGGGGCATGCGTCGTTTCAGCCTTCCTGCCGCCAACAACTCTTCCACGCATGCCACACCTGCGTTCTTATCTAGGTTCAAAATTTTGTTTATCTGGGGCACCACTTTCTCGGCGGCACTGTTTGCCTGATCAACGGAGTGGACAGATCCTTCGCAGAAACTTTCTTCTTCTTCCCTTTTCGGGAACTCGAGCCCGACTTCCTCTTCTCGTCGCTATGGGGTCCACACAAATTACCATCAGAGATACAGTGCCCCTCGTCAACCTCGTCACTCGACCCAGTGCTCTCTCCATCCACAGGGATCGCATCCCTCAGGTCCTCCGCCACACTGTCTTGAAACAAATCGAAGCCCGTACTACACAACTTGGTGGGGGTTACTGCGTACTTATCCCCGTCGTAGCTATATCTGAAAAACTGCTGATATTTGACGTAGATATCACCGATATCTTTGTCCTTGTAATCTTTGTTTTCCTACAGCCACAGAAAGACCCACTTTTCAAATGGTCAACACATGTGGAACCCCATTTTATTCCTGCCAAATTCTAACTTTTACTACGTGATAATTTCCATACCCACAATTTTCAACTATCTAAAGTGCAGGATAAATAACATATTACACAATGAACTTATATTATTGAACAAAAACGCAAATAACTTATACAGTGAGGGAGCCAATTTACCTTTATTTTTCTATTCCACCATTCCTGAGATGCCACTATACAGCTATTGGATGGGTTGTACTAAACCCCGGTACAAGATAGTAGTTCGGTAAGCCTTTTGTGCTCCCGATGCATTGCATCCCAATGGTTGCGAAGTTGAACTTTGGTCCAATTGTGGCCGGATATGGAGTTGAACAAGGTAACGACACGATCCCAGCCAAATTTCGTGAAACACTTGCCATGTCGATGCCCTTCTGTGATCGCAGTTTCACAAGCGCTATAAAACAGCGTTTCTCGGCTTCTCGCCATTTCGCATATTTTTTGGACGCTTCACCAGTCGAGGAATCGTTAACTGGAATGGATGAACCAGCCTGGTTGTAGTTGGTAGACTGTAGGGGAATTCAGAGCTTCAACCACAGCAAGAACAAGAAACTGAAAACGAAAAGAAATTAAGGGCTGCCCATCAAAGGAAATACCTGTGAATTGAATGGGAACATTGCTATGGGAAACAAATGTTGGTTGAAATGTTGTCCCCTTCAAATTGAATGTGTGAAACCAGCCTGTTCTTTCCTGGAGTCCCCTGCAGCAAGTGAACATTCGTGTAATTCAACTAGAAATCGATTTTTTTGAGGAAAAGGCAAATTTTCAAGTGGCCGGAATTGGCAACAAGCAAATGAACTTATGTAGTGCACAGCCATGGTAATGCAATAACGGATCCATTTCATCGGGTGACACAATAAAAAACGAATTGGAAATCGATTGTTTTGTAGAAAAGGGAAAAATTCAGATCACTAACATTTTGGCAACAAGAAATTGAACGATGCATAGTTATGGTAATGCACAAACGGATCAATTTCATCAAGTTACAAGAACCAAAGTGCGAAACAAATCATCCGGAACATTTATTGTCATCAAATTATCACAATTTTATCAAATGAACGTGGAGCTGCAGCTTTGTAAAGAAATTTCGATCTGTACAAAAACGAAGATATACTAACCTGAAAATGCTATGACTGCAAATGAGTTACAGCAGACCAAACATGGAGAACCTTTTGTTCAAACCGTTAGCAAAGTGATGTCGATCTGTGATGGCAGCTGCAGGTTTTTCGAAAAAAAATAAGGACGACAGTCTCGAAAGGTAGTGCTGAGGAATTTTTTTGCTCACCTAGTGCACTTGAGAAGCTTGGCCCAGAGTTGTAGCGTGGGGATTTGCAAGGAGAGAAGCTTGGCCGGTATTTTTCTCCACTGTCGGTGAGGAAGAGGAAGAGGGTAGGTGAGGAAGAGGGAGAGGATAGAAATGGGCAATTACGTCTGCTACTACAGTGAAAGTAGGGTAAATGACCTGCATAATGTCAGGATTTACTGTTGCTAAAGGGTCAATTTTTATACAAATTGAAAAAAAAGGTGCCCCAAACAGGGGTTTAATACTATATTAATATTAAACTGTTAAAATTTATTGAATAACCAGATTTCTTAAATAAAATATTATAAAAACAATATTCTTAAAATTTCAAAGTAAAACCGTTTTCCATTTTTATGTTTTGAGAAACAATTCTTCAGAATGACAAAAAGAATGCATTTCCAGAAATTTCAAAACAAACACTCAAAACATAAAACGAATTCAAAACTCAAAACACAAAAC